AGACACACACACACACACACACACACACAAACACACACACACACACACACACACACACACATCTAATTGCTTATCACACGCGCACGCTTACACTTCGTTACGGAATGACAACATACACATATAATATAAAATAATATACACAATGCAATTTGCAAAATACATAAATGGATAAATAGTCATTTACATAACATTGTACTGAACATGAATCTACTGACATAAAAATGATGTTATTAAATATGTCTTTAAAGATTTTTAAAATTTAGATTCATCATCATCATCATCATCATCATCATCATCATCATCATCATCATCATCATCATCATCATCATCATCATCATCATCATCATCATCGTCATTAAGTGACAGATTTAAAACAGACATCAACGATCATGGTTCGCCATTTATTCCTTTGTTCGGAAGCTCTTGGTAATTAATATTCTGATCTCTCCCTGTCAATCATCTGTTTAAATTTTGCAATTGATTTGCTTTGGGTCTACCTTAGCCATGTTTGCATACTATCTGTCCAGCCAGAGCAAGATGTTAAAGGCCTGTATAAGGATTGTGTCCCAGAAACTGCATTTTGTCTCTTCCTAATTTTTTATAAAGGAGAGTCCCACACTTGCCTCCATTTATAGTATCAGAGAAAGGATCGACTTTTCCTCCACTCCAAATGTCAGATCTGAAGCAGACATTGACGAGCATGATTCCCCTATCTGTCCTGTTGTCTGTCTTCCTGATCAGCTCAGCTTTTTCTCATTGTGTTATATGCTGCAAGGTTGTTCAGACCGTATTGTTATGTGTCTTCATTCTACAAAGAGACAGTTTCCGTAGTCCAATTGATCTCATTATGGGGCCAAATAATCTAAAATGTCTCTTTTCTGAGGGATCTGATTAAAGATCATAGCGTCAAAGAGATTCTGAGTATCGTCCATAGATATAACATTTCCGTCGTTTCTAGTGTTCTCTATGTTTCGTATGTCACATTAATAAAAATCGTATTATGCTGCTGAAAGGCTTTGTTTTTTTCTCATCACTGAATTTTCTGTCTTTTCCCCTCAATTTTATAGTCTATTACGATATCAATTAGACGTAATATGTTATTTCCTTCTAAATGGGAACCAACCGGCTAACAAATGAGGCTTTTTATTTTTGATATTAGGAAGTTATAATACTGCCGCTAATTTCAAAAGCATACTTGTTGGGGGGGACTTTTTAGGGGGGAGGGAGCTTCTAGATCTATAATTCAGTTTTCAAACATGGATAGGCACAAAGCACATCATTAATCAGCTGAAAACAAACAAACTCACCCCCCCCCC